TTTCCACCCTCCTCCACTCCTTCTCTGAACCAGCAACATCGGTGGTCTGGCATTGCCGAACCAGAGAGGTCCTACCTGTACTTACTCTGTAACAATGAAGTGTTTTCCTAAAAGGGATAAGCAGAGCCTGTCCTTATCCATTATGTAGTTCATGCCATATGGTAAAACTTAATACAATTTACATAATATGTTGACTGTTACATCTAAATAAGAAAACTCCTTCTCTGAACCAGCAACATCGGTGGTCTGGCATTGCCGAACCAGAGAGGTCCTACCTGTACTTACTCTGTAACAATGAAGTGTTTTCCTAAAAGGGATAAGCAGAGCCTGTCCTTATCCATTATGTAGTTCATGCCATATGGTAAAACTTAATACAATTTACATAATATGTTGACTGTTACATCTAAATAAGAAATATATCCTGTTTCAAGGAACGACAGAGAACACACACCAATAGAGTGCTGACCATTGGAGCATCTTTCTAGGGCTCACTGGTTTAAAGAGGAAGCCCCCCAGATTTGGTACACGGGCACTGTGACATCATGGAATCCCCCTGATAACAACATTTATCAAATGCCAAATTCTAGGAGGTGTACCTCTTTGGATCTTTTCAGATTTCAAAAGCTAACCAAGGTCAGGTCTGTGTCTTGCCAAGGAAAATAATCTGCTGCTGAAAGGTGCATGAGGTATTCAGTAGCTGGATTGGGGTTCCCTCTAAGATGTGCTGCCATTCAGCTGTTTAATAAGCCCCACACGGGCTCAAGCTTGCTGCACATGAAGCTGTCACATCCATGCAAGAGGTCTCTCTCCCCTCGCCACAGAAGCTCCCTTCTGGGGTGGGGGGAGAGGTGCACTCCACTGACCCCAGCCGGGAGCTGCCACAACTGGGAGAGAGGTGTTTTCTCAAAGTTCTCCGGTCATCCCCTGTAACCAAGAGAAAGACGCCTTTCCTCCAGCCCAACCCAGACTCACCAGAGCTTCCATACCCGGCAGAGGCATGCGTCTCACCTGGCCAGAGCTGCTGCAGTGAGAGAGGACTGAGAGTAGCCCTCTCTTCTGAGACAGCCTGTCCTCAAAACTCTTTCCTCCCAGCACCATCCCAGATCCTGTATCCCAAACCACAGCTTTCATCCTCCTTAACTCTGAGCTCCCTTCCACATTCCCATCACCTTCTCCCTCTGAGTCATTAGTAAATCAATAATCCTGTTAATACCAGTGGGCACTGCATTATGGAAGCTGCCTTCTTTAGCAGAAACTTGAAACTGGGTTCGTGAGCGCTGGTTATCTTTAATGAGCCAATCTTAATTTTTCCAAGAGCAAAGCTATTACTGTTGTGTCCTGGCCAAATTCCACTTTGAATATCTGCATTCAGTATATAGATATGCATCTAGAGTAAACAGCTTTGAAATCTTTGCTTGTAACTACAAAAGAAAATCTTTATGATAAAATAGGGTTGGTTTTGTTTTTTATTATTACAGAGATAGCAGAGCATCAGCAGGTCAATATTAGTTACTAAATACACAACAGACAAATAAAACTAAATAGTAAAAGAAAGCAAACTTATCTGTAACCTAAATAAGTAGTAACTTGTTGTGTTTGATATAATTGGGATCATTTGACTGGTGATGTTGATCTGCCACGGTGATATTTTCAAATGGAAGCCTATTAAACAAATAAGTATATTGAAATTGGCAGTGATTACAGAGTTCTAGTCAAAATTGTTCTACATTTTCCTGTTTAAGCATTCTACTGGAAGTAAAGTTTTGCCTTTCTAATTAAATATTTGATTATACAAAGGTGGCATTATGGGTTAGTGAACACTAAGAACAAGTCAGCAAACAGTCTTTTTTAAATTACCTTATTTGTGCTTATGACTTCAAAAGAAAAAATGTTAATGTTGGCCTGTGATAATAATTCACTGTACCAAATCTAGTACAATACATTTAGAAACAAAGGCATCAAATGTGCATCTGTTCTGATGGCCTTCTGTCAAGCAGCAGCCAATACCAGATGCCTCAAAAGAAGGTGCAAGAATATTTGGTAATAACCTGCACAGAGGGGAAATTTCTTCTTAGTGTCCATTAGATAGTGGAGGTTTTATGCCTTGAAGTAAGAGGGTTTATACCCCTTGTGGTCAGGATTTCTAGGATATCTTAAGTGAGGTTCCTAAATCCACATTATAAGTGCTCTGATTTTTAAAATTTAACAGCTCCTTTTAAAGTAAAATATTTTATTAGAGAGGCAAACCATGATTTCCATTAGGACATGTAAACAGGCAAATGGAGAACAATTTTGACTAGATCTCTGTAAACACTAATTTCATTATACTTATAATAAATGTAGATCAAGATTTTCAAAACAGCACACCTGAAGCTAGGCTCTTAAATCCACACTGAGGCATTTTTAAATATACTTTGTATGTAGTTTTTAATCTGTTGCAACCTTAGCAACACAGTGTCTCTGCTGATATCATCATCCAACCCCAACACAATCAAAAATTATGAGTTGGGCAACAAAAAGTCATGAGATTCATATAAGAATCTTCACATTTTAAAACATACATATTTTGTGGGTCTTTTCCTTCCCCTTCTGGTTTCGGGGCCCTTAGGACACATTTAGGTCATGATTTCAAACTTTTCCTTGTAAGTTGAAAGATTCTCCCATAACTTCAAGATTCCAGGGGCTGAGGCTTTAGGAAAACCCAGTGAATATTTTGAGACTCATGATAAAATCACAAGAGTTGGTAACACAGTGGAAGTTGTCTGGTTTGAAATGAGGCTCTGTGGATAATTTACTACACTTGCTATTTGTACAGCTGTGCCCTTCTTTCTTTTGTTTTATACGTGTAGCAACCATCAACCTTTGTCCAAGCACGGCGAATCATTGCAAGAGATGGCTTGGGATTCCGTGGGCTCAACAAAGGCCTCACTGCAACGTTGGGCCGCCATGGTGTTTTTAATATGATTTACTTTGGATTCTACTTCAACGTCAAAAATATTATTCCAGTCAATGAGGTAAGTGCGTTGTACAGTGTAAAAGACAAAAAGATGGCAATTTAATGGACATTCTACCTTTTTTTTCTTTTTTTTTGCAAAGCTGTGGTCTTCTCAGAGACACATATGACACTATTTGTTTATTTTTGGAAGTTCTGCAAAAGTTTATTAGCAAGATTGTTTTCTGTGGCAAAACAAGCTACAAGCAATTCTGTAAATGTGTGGCCTAGATTCTTATTTACACTAAGGCTATGTTTACACTACAGGGGTTTTGCACAAAATCAGCCGGTTTTGCGCAAAAACCTGTGGAGCGGCTACACCTCAAGTGCATTTTTGCGCAAGAAAATTTTCAGTAAAACAGCAGAACAGAGGGCTTTTTGCGGTGTAGGTATACCTCTTTCTACGAGGAATAACTCCTTTTGGGGCAAGAGTTCTTAGGTTAGATAAATGTCTATCAGGGATGGTCTAGACAGTATTTGGTCCTGCCATGAGGGCAGGGGACTGGACTCGATGACCTCTCGAAGTCCCTTCCAGTCCTAGTATTCTATGATTCTATGATTCTATGAAAAGGTGTGTGTGGACTCTCCACAGGGGTTTCTTGCGCAAAAAGAGCCTATAAGAAAAAGCATAGGTATTCTGATGGCAATTCTGTGAATGATCATCAGAACTTTCTTGCGCAAGAGTGTCCATGCAGTCCAAGTGTTTGCGATGCGCTTTTGAGGTGTGGATGCACTTTTGTGCAAGAAGTTTTTGCAGAAGATCTCTTTTGCAAAAAGCTTCTTGTGCAAAAACCCTGCAGAGTAGACAAATCCTAAGGTTATTTTGCGCCTTTCTGGCAGCATAAAGATGCAAGGAAATGGAAGTAAATTACATTTCTAATTACATTAGGCACCTTACCTTGAAAATTTTGTCCTAAGTGCTTGTTTGTGGTAGTCTAAAGGGTAAAGATTAAATTATATAGAACATTTACTTTCAGTATGAGAAGCAGAATGAAACAAACTATAGGTTGCATCTCTCTAAACCGGGATTTTCTGGTCTGGCAACATCTGTGATCTGACAGGACTATGGATATTCCAGGATCAGAGAATCCCGGTGTGGTGCAGGAGCTGGGGAGATCCAGGAGCCTGGCCTGATGTGGGGGCCAGGAGGTGGGAAGCTGCTGTGCTGCCAGAAGAGAGGGGGCAGAAGCCCAGCACATGGCTCAGCTGGGTTGCGGGGAGCTGGGGAGCTCGAGCACAACCCAGCTGGGCTGCCTGGAGGAGTTGGGAATGCCGGTAGGGCAGCAAGACAGGGAGTGAAGCTGGCAGCTGGGGGCCAGAAATGACCTCCCTTGATCCGGCAAAATCCCACATCCGGGACCAGTCAGATCCCAAGGGTGCCGAACCAGGGAGGTCCAACCTGTATTAAGAAAAAACTAAACTAGAGAGTCATGTAACTAAGTAGTAACATGCTGTGCTGGATTTAATTGGGATCATTTGGAGGGAGCTGTTAAGTTGCCAGAATGATCATTTGAAATAAAAGTCCATTGAGCAAATTAAGTATTTTGGAATTCACAGTGTTTGCCGTGTTGAGGGGAGCTCATCTCTCTGTGAAGCGGAAGCTGCAGAAGATTGTGTTGTGCTAGGTCTACTTATTCTAAAGACAAATCAGCCTGGTGCTCAAGGATAAAAAGATAAATTTACATGAGTAGAGGAGGCCAGACTCACAATTATATTTAAATGAGACTTTAAGTGATTTGTGTTATCACCATCCAGGGTGAATTTCATCATGATGAATAAATTGAATTGGAAGCCTTTGTAGCTGGAACTGCATATAAAACAATTTTATTACAACAGGTTTATAGGCTTCTGTTTTGTATATCGAGGGAAGATTCACTTAGGCTAAGAATGATTGTACTAGCAACTTACTCAAGATTGTGAGAGCAACAATTAATGGTTTATTAATAGATTCAGAATTGTACTTAATGAACTGTGTTTTCACTAATGTAAAACAAAACTATGGTGACAATTTAAACAACCACAGGTATAACATCAGGTGATATTCCTGTAAGAAACTGTACATCAAAAGGTAGCTATTTCAATTCTTATATAAAGCAACACTGCATTTTTTTCAGCATTTTTTAGTCACCTGGTATTTTGCTGGCAACCTAATATAAATGAGAAAAAGATCAATTTACTTATTTGCAAATTCTTATCATAAATTGAATTGTTCAATAGCAACTGACATGCAGATTTCTCTTAAGAACATGGAGAGTCAAGCATTCCTTCTAGGAAAATAATGAAGAGTTCCTGCCTGGTAATCACAGAATAGTGATAGACTTTGGCGTAACAACCATTTACCAACTTTATAAAGGAAAACATAATGTCACGAGAAGCTGTTACTGTATTATGAGGGAGAGGAGAGTTCAGAGTTATATGAATCTTGTATAATGCAATGGATTATTCTGATTTGAAGACATAGATTTAAAATCATATATAAGATGTAAGGGCCAGAATCCACCTACTCGTCTTCAGTGTACATGTACATCACAATCTGAAGACAGAGTCCTTCAAGGGAGTAGCCAGTTAAAGGATTAGGTTGCATTAACTGCAGTTGTGCAGAGAAGTTTGCACAGGACCTGACCACAACAGGTCTGATACAACTCTCGTTGAAGTCAATGAGAATCTTTCCACTGATTTTAATGTGTGTTGGATCAGGCCTAAAATGCCAGCTATCTGTCTAATATGCAAGCATTATGTCTCATGTATTCATGAACATAAAACCCCACTTCAGCATTCGGAGAACAGAAAAAATAATTCTTTGTAATCTGTCATCTAATCTTTTTTCATCAGTGGGAAAGCAATATAGATGCCAACAATTATCAAATGTCTGACTTGGGCTTGATAGAATAAGCTGTTTCTGAGTTGGAGCTGAAAAGATTAGACTGTTTCAGCTTTTCAATTATTCTCAAGTACTGCATTGCAAAAACCAATCTTTTCATTTAATATGCTTCCCAAGAAGAAAAAACTCCAAGTCTTGTAATGCTGACAAGCATATAAAAACTGTGAAATAAAAGTGGTACACTTTTTAAATAGCTCTGGCTCTTTGTTATATATCTGCTGCTTACCATCTGTAACATAAGTGGAAAAATGTATCAAAATGTCCATATGAGCCTTTTAGCTGTCAACAGTGTTAAATTATGCTTTAAATTTGCATCCCAATTAAGGATGTTTGCAGCTTATTTCGCCAAAAACAATAAACCATTTGGGTTGAATGCCTGAATGATATAAATGACATGTGTGGCTTATAAGACTTCAAAATGAATAATTTTTCATATGTTCAGTCTATTTTGCCAAATACACCATTTACAATCAACCTACCTCTCTGTTTACTAAACATAGAATGACTTAGACTTGTTCTGTTCACCACTAACGTGTAAACAACACAGTATTAGCTTCTATGCATCTGCACTAGCAATCAAATTGGTCTATAATTTATTTCACCTTGATTTTATAGCAATTTGTTTATGCTCCACATTTCATACATTTCCAATAGCTTTCTCTTTGCTATTTTTATCATAGTTAGAGTTTTTTGGTAAATGTTTATTTCAGAATAACAAGTACTAGTTGAGCCTCTCTAGTCAGGCACACTTGGGACCTGACTTGTGCCAAAACAAAGAATTTGTCAAACCATGGGAGGTCAATACTGTCTAGCAGCATTACCAACACTTCCACTGCTTACTGGGCACTTAGAAAACATTTAGGGGTCAATTAGCGCTAAATAACAGCACAGAACACTGTGTGTCAGGACTGGTGGCTGAAAATAAACTTTATGGGATCACAGGAAACTTGGCCACACCCGTGATAAAACGAACACCCAGCCAGCTAAAATCATGTTGGACCACGGATGTTGCCAGACCAGAGAATTCCAGACTAGAGAGGTTCAACCTTTATGTTTGCTCACTACCATCTCTAAGAGGCAGTCACCCATCTTAACATCCCATTCCTGATTCTCTCATAGTAAGTCCTAGAAAGTGGCCATCAAAAAAATCATTTCTGGGCACACATACGTCTATCTATCTGCTGCAGATTTATGCTGTGCCACCTGCTAACCGGGGTGTTTGCACCAAATGTGAGAATTGATGCATCAGTTGCTATGTCACAGAAATGGCTCCCATATCTATTCTGTTCTATATATGTTCTTATACCGTGCTCGTCACTGTGGTGCCTGAGCACCTTCCAGTTGTGCAGTAAGCCACGTGATTGCACATCTTTCACGTGGCATTTGTTCCCTCCTCATCTTCCCAGAGGCAGAAGTGTGTGAAGGGGAGTGTCTTGTTTTGATAGTGTAGGGGTGTTTTTTGTAATGTAAATATGCCTGTTGCTTGCAGTGTGTTTGTATTAGAGAAGGCAAGGTCAAACAAATATGCTTTGCACTTGAAGCAGAAAGTGGTGAAGTTTATGATGAGCTGTAGTTTTGAGCAAGTTCATTCCACAGGCTCAGACCACCCCAGGAGAATGTTCTTTCTTCTGCACAACCATTACTCTTAATGTCAAGAATTCCCTTGTGCTTGAGGAGCACAGTTGTTGATCATGGTCTTCATCACGGATCTTTTAGATTCCCCAGAGCACTTTGAAGATTAGGACTGAGACCTTGAATTTACAGTAGGCCAATATAGAGAGCAGAGGGCAGGTCTTGTGTACTCACAGTAGCCTGTGTTGCTGGGAAGGCACTCTGAAGCACTTGATGTTAGTTGGAGTTTCCCAAAGGCTGAGGCTTTATGATATATTGCTTTGCTATAATCGAGCTGAGAAGTAACCAAGGGATGAATGACTGAGACCACATCTTTGTCCCTATGGTGTGATGCCTGATCCACATTGGGCTCTAAGGGGTTATAGACCCTGAGGAAGACTGTGAAGGAGACAGCCAGTCAGGGCTGGGCCCATTTCAGAAGGGCTGCAGAACAGAGCAGCTTCAGTTACTCTCGGGAGGAGGAGGAAGAAGGACTTACTGCTTTTTAGGCTGAAGGTAGCAAGCACCCT